TATGAGCAGTTCCATAAAAGCAGTTCCATAATACATAAGCAGTTCCGTAATACATAAGCAGTTCCGTAATACATAAGCAGTTCCATAATACGTAAGCAGTTCCACAATACGTAAGCAGTTCCATAATACGTAAGCAGTTCCATAATACGTAAGCAGTTCCAGATATAAGCAGTTCCGTGAGGGATTAAACTGAGAGCTCGCAGTCCAATTTGAGGGATTAAACGGAGCTTGCAGTCAGAGTGAAGGATTTAAACGGAGCTTGGTTAAAGAGAGCCTGCAGACCAATGCGAGGGCTTTAAACTGATGCTTGCCCACCAATGCACGGGGCCAACTGAGCCTGCAGTACAAGCGCGGGGCCAACTGAGCCTGTAGGACAATGCGAGGGGAATAAACCGTCCGCAGATCTCATACTTACCCGCAACGCCAGAAGATAAGGGACAACACGACGGGACCACACCGTATGGCACGAGGAGGCAGGGATGCGCACGGCTCCCACCGCACCGGTCCAGACCGGCCGTATGCAGCAGCAGGCCGCGACGAGACGAGCAGCGGCGAACCCGCAGAAAGAGCCCGCAAAGGAGGAGAGCGGCAAAGACCCACGGACCACAGCACGAGACCCGCAGCAGGTGCAGCGACGTGGAGGAGGAGCAGACCACACGCAGCAAGACAGAGGACAGCAGGGACACGCACGAAGTAAGTGAGAATAGAACAAAGCGATTCCTCCAGAACGACTCTTTGCAAGGCTTCGCTCTTTGCTGCAGGCTTCAAGAGGCCGAGAATGGGAGTTCCTCCGCTTTTAAGCAGCTTGCCTGGCTGGACCGGTGATTGGAAGGGGGCGTTTGCCGTGCGATAGGCTGGGGATGAGAACCGGCCTGGAGGGGTTACCTTTGGCTGACGTCTACCAAATTGAACTTACGCTGGCTGCATTTTAAATGACATTTGGGACATTTTGTGTCACCAAACTCCAGAGATTGCTCATTAATTCATTTTAATTTGGGCCACAATTTTAATGCTAATGTTTCTCAAGTCTAATATCTGATCAGAAAGCCCAACGAGCCTCTCATTTGGGTTGCCAGTTCCAATGGTGAGATCCAGCGTGTTTGGTGTCTGCATAGGCCTGATGATGAACCAGCATCAGAATGTGAGTGCGTAGCAGGTAAAACAAAGCAATACATACTGTTCCTGTAAGCACTCCTGTGTCAATAAAACAATGATCAATGGATTACTCAAATAAAAGTTACACGACAAGCACTCAAAATGAACAGACCATGTACCAAAAGAGTCTGATTTACAGCTACATCACACCTGCAGCTTTAATGATTGACATTTACCGCGGAACAGATGCCCTGAGGATCGTGTTGGCACTCATCAGTTTACTTTACCATCAGGATCAACACCACCAGCAAAACTCAACACGCACCAACAGAGACCAGCACAAGCAAGTCACGCTGTTGTTCCACCCACAAACTTCATTCATGCACGTAGAACTAAGCTGCCTTTGTGTTCAGGCACTTCTTGTTCTTCTCGAAAGGAAACGATGGCCCCAGCACATCTTTCCTATTTGGCTTGAGCTGCGACCAAGACCTCTGAGCCCATAATTGTGTGGAAAGATGACACAAGTCCCGTTTCCATTTCGCCGACAGAAGCAAGAGTTCTGTGGAAACCCTTACAATACACTAGTGTTGTTTTGCCTCCAATCAGTGGGAAGCTGTTGATTGAGGGAAACGTGGTATTTCATAGAAAGTGTATAGTCAGAATAATATCGGTTTTATGGAATAAGAGATGATTAAACCAATATATTTTCCACAAATAATTTTTTTTATGTTTAAAGAAGTAGAGAAAAACATTATAACGTTTGGAATTGGATAAAACACAGCATACTGGTCTATCATTGAAACATATAATAGAGCAGAGCAGTTTTTAAAGCCACAAATGCTAACAAAGCATGACATCCACGATACACAGCACTCTTCACACAAATATGTAATGTTGCTATGAGGGTTTTTTTTAAAGTATTTTCTTAAAGATATGTCTTGCCTTTCTAAAAAACATTTAACAATAAAGAAATATGTATAATGCATGATCTGCCCCTCAAGGCTGAAAACATAGCCCCAAACTTTTTCAACTATATTCTGCACCTTTTACAACTCCCACTGCTGGGTTCAAACAGGTTTGCGTTTTTATTATTACTGTCATCAGCACCACATGTACAATCTTGTTGCTCATTTGTCCACATTTGTTACATTTGCAGTAAAAAGTGAAACCCCGGGTTGCGCAGTCAGATGCCAACTATATTTCAAATGAGTCTCTTGGCGCTGAGTGACGCTGCGGTGGAGCTGAGGCTGAAGTCGTCTGTCCATCTGTCTGTCAGTATGTCCGCTCACCTCCTGTGTCTTCTGCTTAGTACACACACACATTCACGCACACACCCGCGCGCCACACACATATACATGCACACATATATGTAGACACCACACATACATGCATGCACCACAGTCACACATATGTTTACACACACACACACATATATGCACTACACATACCCCACATACATACACACACATCTGAGGCGTGTGAGTGTGTGTATCACGAGGCCCATCTGCTGCTGACTAGATCTGTCTCTACACTGTCCCGACGAGCACAGATGACTTCACATTATTGGTTAATCTCAGACGTAAAAAAGCAAGAAAAGCATTCATATCTAGTACATGAGTAGATGTATGTCCGATACCCGTCTCCATACTATACCAAACCTGTACCAGAAAAGGGCCTGGCAAAAACAAAATCACAGTAAAATGATGCAATTGTGTTTTTTTATGTCCAATTGTGTACTTCTATCCTGCTAGTAACTCCAGAACAACTCTGTAAAAGTTTAATAGTCAATAACAGCCAATAGTTCTAGGTATTGGATTAACTGATATAATTAAATAGACACAGTATTGTATCACTGATGCCTAATTGGTATCACAGTATGGGATTGCATGGTATGAAAGACCACCACAAAGTGGTCAACAAATTGATCAATGATTTCATTACATTTTTTAATGTAAAAAAAATAACGTGGGGCTTGCATAAGCAATCAACCTCCTTGAATTAATACTTTGTGGAATTACAACGGCTAGTGGGAGGTATATCTACAAACTTTTTTATCTCAAAACTGATATTTTTTGTAAATTAAAAAGCTCAAGCTCCATAACATGGAGCTTGATTAAACGTAAACATTCAATCAAATCTTATCTGAAAAATTCTTCTTGATTTCACTCAAGCTGAATGAGGATGAATACTGAAGCAAACCATACTTTGCTGTTTTTGTTTGTATATATTTAAAAAAAATAATGTAAGCAAGTATAATTTTGCTTTCACTGTACATTTAAAAGACAATAGTTATGTTTGTGGCCATAACGTGACAAATTGTGGAAAGGATCATGGGGTATGAATACTTTTAAAAGCCAGTGTATGACTATTCTTGTTAGCTGAAAGTGAAACTATTATGTTTGTTTTGGAGTTAACAGTGGGTTTTAAAACCTCTGAAAGTGTACCTCAAAACATAGCCTACAGATCAGGCCTGGCACACAAAGGCTATTTTCAGCCACTGGCTCCAAAAGACAGCTCACATTCTGAACTGTGTCACACAAACTATTCTCACAGTTTTAGGTAGGACTAAAGTGCAACAGAATGCGTGCCATGGCCAGTACAAAACAAGTCAAGACAAAGGAATCAAAACTGTCATCAAGTTACTTCAAATGAGAAAAATAAATGTACCTCCATTCAGTGGGCCATTATTTTTGTTTGTTTTTCAACCAACATCTATGCTCGTTTTGTAGCCGTGCCAAAAAAAAAATCCAAAAGTTACCAAAAGAGTAAGAAACCTGGCAACCCCAGCGAACAGGTGTGGGAGGGGAGCAGCACGTGCGTCTGCTGCTGCTGCCACAATAAGGGGGAAGAGAGTGAACTCCCTAAGTAAAACTTATCCACAGCACACCTGACAATATCTCAGAGGTTGAAAGTCTGATATAGGCATACACAGTCAACATTGTCAATAACGTTCCACTCTTTCACCGAAAGACATTGAGGCAGAATCATTTCAGACTTGAAAAGTCAAGGAGCAAAGTACAGAAAGGATTGTGTTTTTATAAATGTCTCCATTTCTTATGGTTCACTGGAATAAACACACTTTTACCGATGATTTCTACATTGGGAAACAACGTAAAAAGAAAATTGTATATAACATACGGAACAGTCTGGATTCCAGGCTATTATATCACACGTCTGTGACTTCAAGTAATTATTAACTCTAAACTATTTGCTCACCCATTATAGCAGCCGACCAACCCTCTCAGAACACGTACGTAGATGCAAAGGACGTTACAAAGGCTAAGGCAGGGTTCAATGAAAAGAAACTGCATGTACTGACATCACAGTCAATTGTAAAGTCAACAAGTTCTCCTGAGCATCCTAATTAGAGTTGTTAAGGCACATTCCAACACACACAGGATGTAATTACTGCACCAGTGCAGCGCAGTGAGGGCAAACCAAAGTACGAGACAATGCAAATGCACTGTTCAGTAGAAGCTAAACAGAATACAAGATAAATTATATAAGATGAAGATGAATTATCTGATGTTAAAAATACAGGGTAGTAAGTTAAAGGTTCTATCTAGGACCATAAACTAATACTGTCCTGTATCATTTTGCAAACTCAGATAATAAATGGTCTACTGCAGTGAGCACTAATATCCCCAAGGCCCAGGTTTCAGACTGAAAATAAGATTAATCATAGAAGGATGTTTTTAACATATTCTGGTGTTAAAAAAACAAGGTGATAATGAGACTTGAAAGATGGCAGCACAAACTCAAATATTTTAAGCGGAAAGGGAATACCTAGTGATATTTAGAGTATTCATGACCATTTCACTCAAGTGACATGTCCTCAAAGATCATTCTATTTGATTCTGTTTTAAGCAGGAAATGTATATGATGCAGAAAGATGAACACATTACCATCGTCCAGAGTTATGTCCTGAAGGCCAATGGTGCGGAAGGCGGGTTCTCTGTCTTCTGGCTCCTCTTTAATGTTCTGTCTGTCAGCCTCTGAAGGGTACTGCCCCAAAGGCCCCGTTGGGGGGGACAGGGTGGTCATCACAGGGCTGCTGGTCTGAGGAGAATGTCCTGAATTCTGCTGCAGAGGTCCCAGAGGACTGCCCCCAGACGTGGGAGAGGACGAGGAGGGGGACTGGTACGGAACAGAGTGTAGCGGGGGCGATGAGGGGCCTGAGTGTGGGGAGGAGACCATCCTCAGAGGAGGCGCACTGCAAGGTGTGGGGCATGAGGCTGATCTTACGGCCTCATGCCCTACAGGGTGGTATGACATGGGTCGTTGTAGTGGGGACGAGTGTTGTCCGAGGAGCGGGTGGGCAGTGGGGGAGGACGCCTGTGTGGAGTTTGGGCCACAGTGGTAGCCCCCCAGGGCATGAAGGCCCAGAAGAGATGGACTTTGAGGAGAACCAGCGAGAGGCGATGAAGAGGGCGGGGCCGAGGGCGAAGGGCATGAGGATGAGGAGAACCCCATTCCGAGACCTGCTGAGTTAGTGCTCTGCTGAAAGCTCTGCTCATAGCCCTGCGCACTCAAACTGGGCAGTCCGTTGAATGCCAGGCTGGGGGCATGAGCGTGCAGAGGTCCATAGGACGGTCGTGGCGGGGCAGGAAGAGGACTATGTGCAGGGCTGTGTTGGAACGACATGTGGCAGTCTGTGGGCGGCTGCTGCAAACTGTGGCCCTGGAGGTGAGGCAGGTGTTGGAAAGAAGGGGAGCCCAGTGGGGGGCAAGGGGGGTGTGGGATAAGCAGGCCTGAACCAGAGCCTGCAGCCAGACCATGAGGCGAGTTGGACAGAAGGTTGTCCTGTGGGGGGCCGTGCTCAGGAGAGGGCAGCTGTGTGCGCACCAGAGTGGCACCATGTGCCAGGGGCATGGTCAGAGGGGCCGCAGTAGGATGCTCCAAGTCCTCTCGATGTTCCTGTTTGACCAACACTGCAAGACAAACATAACCCAAATTAAGAGAGTTTCACTAGTTCACCCTGTCAAGAAAAATAAAACATGATTCTCTATCACAAACTTATACATAAACACAGAAATATAAAACTTTCCATTATGAAAGAAAGAAAAGCTTTCCAAAAGCCACACATTCTTAACAGCAATTGGGTTATTCCCTTGACAGCAATGGTGCTGCAGTGCCACTCAGTAACCTATTTCTCAATCTGCTGCCTTGTGACACTAAGTTTTATTTTTATCCAACTCTGAATCAGAGGGAGAGCATATGTCGTCAGTCTGGCTGCAATCATGTGAAGCGCTGTGTGAAGAGTACATAAATGTCCCTGATACAATATTCAGGCCAAAACTACAAGCTGATTTTATGATTATCACCAACACAAATTAAAGCATTTTTTTACTGACTCTTTTACAGGGGAATGAGGGTGTAAACATAATCACATATTCTTGTTGGAAAATATTTGAATCAACCAACAATAACGATAAGAAGGATTGTTATTAAATAGATTGGTATTGCTGGTAACTGCAGTCAGTACCATCAGTCTGTTTGAGTGGCAGTGCAGGTCAGTGTAGTTGTCTAGATTGGCTGCCCTGATCTGTCAGCAGGGAAAACAGGAACTGCATGTGCCGAGTGGGCGTGCTTGCAAACAGAGCAGTGTGGCGGCGGAGGGCAGGTCTGCACACACTTGCTGCTTTGGCAACACTCTGCTATTGGATGCACAAATGTAATTATTCTGCCAAATTCTTTTGCACTTTCAGCTCAATTTCAGAAGAAAAGCAGCATACAAAACATGTGTTTTTGTTTGAGTAAAGTGAATAATAATTTATGCAATTTTTGAATACAAATAACACCATGTAAATACAGAAGGACGTTTAACAGTTGGTAGGTTTTCATGTTTGTGGCACAAAAGCCTCTCAGGACCACAGTTAGGTGCTCTTTGCAAAAGGTAGTTGTTTTGAGGTGATATAAGTCTTCTTGGAGTGTGAGTGTGATGGCTCCAAACAAACACTAAAGACAGGACTTGTATTTACTACACAAAAGTTGCTGGTGTAGCTCATACCTGGAAGGTACGTGAACCGCTGCGATTGGCTTCTTTTCCTTTTGCCATTACAGACGTAGAACTGCAGCTGTACGGCAGAGCTCACAGACTTGCTGTGATATGGAGGAACCTCCACCAGTATGCATGACTGAATAAAAGACATGTTCATTAGCTGCTGATTATAATGTTTACAAGAAAATAAAGAAAATATATAACAAGGAAGTACTCACCCCTTGGTTTTTCTCACAAATAATTTTTGCTTCCACTTCCCATTGTGGTCTCCCATCTGAAATAGATGAATACATAATAGTTTACCACCTTTTTTTAATACCTTCTAACTGTGCAATGCAACACTGACATTTACATACTGTAGGATAAATACATGTTATTTTTTCTTAACACGTAAAGGTAAATACAAAGAGTTCACTGCTTTAGAGAAGAGGCTTTTTGACAAAACACATGTTTAACAAAAGTTATCTTCTCCATTGCCACGTGACCCAAGTCATTGACACAGTAATCCACATGTCATTATGGAGATTGTTCCTGTTGGTAAAGGAAGAGCTTAACTCTTAGCTGACAGGGAGTATTTACTCCAATAAGAGAATGACCTTGACTGTCTGCAGCTGACAGCGCTGCATTATTACAGAACGGCTTGTTGACATTCAACAGGCAAGAGCAAGGGCCCCACATGCTTTTTCAGACAACAAGCAGCAACAGGAACCTCATTCCATCTGAAGACATGACACCAAGAGCAGCTGCTAAAATATAATTTTATAATCTATCAAATCATCTTTTTGTGTGTTGCATGTTTTTCCTCAACACAATCAACGGACTTGTATGATTTCATTAACAACAAACACAACATTTGGATCCGACAACACTAGACATCGTCTGCATATGCAACAGCATATATTTAATTTTAAACATACATTTAATTTAATTATGCAATTGAGGTATAAACTCATAAAAAAACTTGCATATAAACATATGCAAGTTTTTTGATGAGTTTTTTTGTTGTTTTATGCTGTTTGTTTTTTACATACTGTATATATGCCGTTGTTTTGTATCCACAGTATGTATTTCTCTGAGCTCAAAATCTTAGTTACAAAAAAATGTAATAAATAATTTCTAATATGTGCATATTTATTCTGACAGTAAGTGGCAACAAAATACCAATATCATTATCGAATCAGGACAACCCTGACACTAAATCTCATTAAAAGACACAACAGCAGCATGCCCTTTTGGTATACACACAAGTACATACACAAAGCATGATTATAATTATCAACTAGTATTGAGAGAAGACCCTGACAGCATCAACTTCTCGGCTCCAGTCTCTGCATTTTGCAGATCTTCACCTACACCTTTAAAACACTCTAAGACATTCTTTCACACATCTTTACACTGAAAACATGGTACTTTCTCTGTGATGATTCTTTTATGGACCTTATACAACAGCAACAAGCGGGCAAGTGAAAAAGAGAGTCTGGAACTCCCTCCCTGTATGAATAAAGATACATAGAAATGTCTTTACAACCATTATTCACAAAAAAGGTCACAAAACATGCTGCCATATGTAAACTAGAACCAATCAAAAAAGGATCAAGTCTCTCAATGGGTCTATAGATGAAAATAAGTAAAATGTATGGCTTGTATGGCTTCTCGACCAATGAAAGGACAGCTTTTAAGGTGGTCTACTTTGCATAAGCAGTTGTGAGTCGCTGATCTGGACTGACTCTTTAAATGACCAATAACCCCTCTGGTCACCCTGGAGAAGCCATGTTCCAACGTCTTCCCACGGGAAGAAAATAGGGTCACAGGAATTGTGTCCCCTTTGAAGTCATACACTTTTTCTCTTTTTGAAATCAATTGGTTTTCTATAAATCCACACTTTTGTGTATGTGCCAAAAGGTTATTCTGCGCATGCACCAAGAGGGCCGTATCTAGCCAAACTGCTAAAGTATTTTTTGATGTTATTTACTGATATTATTTAAAAGTGGCGTAAAAAACTATAAATTTAAGATTTTGATAAAACTTTTGATATGAAAAAAAATCAGTCACCAGTCTTTAGGGCGCATGTGAATGAAACTGCTGCACAAGGTTCTTACCGGGGCCCTTCTCCAGGAAGATGACCTTGGACTCTGGAAAGAAGTTAGAGCCAGTGATGACCATCTCCTCTCCCCCGCTGACCAGACAGCTGGTCAGGCTGGACTTCTCCACCTGGGGTAGCTCTTGAGCCGACCGTTGGGCTGCAGCACAGCCGAAGTAGTAATAGTCGAAGAAGAACACACACACACATATACTGTATTTTCATTTACATATATACTGTACAGTACATATAATAATATACAGAATATTGTTATTCAATTCAGTTAGTTTTCTTATGTTTCCCATTACACAGAACTGTCTGAAAGTGGGAGTGCCTAGTAACACTACACAAAGCGGGATTGGAGTTTATCATCCTGCAGGGAAAAAGCTAGAAGATGGAACTTTTGGTCCCCAGAGGGCACAGCACATAGGTTTTCACAAACTAACTAGGCCAAGTGGTCCACATCGTTGCCACATGGGTGTGAAGACGGCCCGCAGTCGGCAACCGTGCCAGCCCAAATGTGGTGTAGTACAGCGCTCGGTACAGCTGGTGGCGCTAATAATAACTTCAACGAACACCTCGAGGTCCTAGTTAAGTTTCTCGTTCTCTTCCCGTTTACACACGGCTACTGAAGCCAACCAGCTCAATCATCGCGTTCTTTGCATCAGAGTCAATTTGAACATATGTGAGATGTGTCTTTCTTCAATGTGCAGCAGCTTAGTGGGTAACGTGTGTGTATGTGTATGTGCAGGCATGCAGCAGACACGGGACGGGAGCGGGCCTTGGAGTAAACTGAGTGAGTGCTGAGAAATGAATGAATAAGAATGAAAGAATGAAAAGTAAATGTTGGTGTGTTTTGGCGATAAAATAAAGTCTGACTCTTGAGCAAGCGATCAAAGTGTTATTGGAATAGCACCACACTGTGACAGCATGAGTCAAAACAGAAGGTTGTTATTCCCCGTAGGAAACACATCCCTTTGGCCGTGGAGCCACAAATCCCCTGCCCCCATTTACCATGGTCCGGGGGCCAGTGTTTGGGAGTAACCAGTGGGGGCGGGTGCTCAAAAAGGACCATGAGCACGTGCTCTTGACTTGCTTGCAATCTCACTCCGGGCCAGTGGGGGTGGACCCAGAAAGAGAATTACCCTATTCGTTTGTAAGAGGTCTTTCTTCTAGAAGACGACTTTATAGGATGGTCCAAAAGTTGGCTCTTGGGAGTATATTTTTTTGACCAGTCTGCTTTAGCCGCAATGGACTTTACAAGGCACTCGTCAAATGAATGGGGCAGGTGCCGGGTAACGCAATGCGACACGTCACAGTGGGCACAGCAGGAAGACGTAATGTGTCGCACAATGGGCCTCATGTATGAAACTTGCGTACGGCCAAATCAGGGTGTAAATGATGCGTACGCAAAAATTTTACACTTTTCCGCGTTTATCAATCTGGACGTGAGCGTACGGTACGCAAAAAATATACACCAGGTCAGGAGGTGGTGTAAATGTGTACGCTCATTTCACCCTTCTTCAACACGCCAAAACACGCATGAAATTCAAGATTTGGACAACATAAACATATTCCCACTCTGGCAACATTATAAGCTGTGTTTTCATGGAGCATCATGTTTCGGAATTGGAATTTGTGCATCAGAAAAACTCTAACACTCTGGAAACACGCAAACTTTGAAAAAAACACGAATCACGATGAGGAGCCTCTTCTGTTTCTATGATTTCAAATCTGACTTGTGTGTGTATTATTTTGTATGTTTTTAAAATGTGAAGCGCTTTGTGATTCTGCACTGTGAAAGGCTCTATACAAATACACTTTACGTGACAGGGATGTGTGACCCATATATTGCTTTTGTAAATCTGTGCCAGGCTCTGCGCTGCGTAATTACGCACGGCTATCTCACACAGACACACACAAACACACCGATGGATGGTATTGCTCACTCCAAATGTCTCACTGCCCTGTCCAGACTCACTGCCCTGTCCAGACTCACTGCTCTGTCCAGAGTGCGCAACGGGTCCGTGAGAGGTCGCGCCGCATAACTCCTGTCATTCAGTAGTTTTGGCTCCAGAGTTTCTTTGTGAAATCTGGATCGCAAAAGCTCTCTCAAGTATACTGTGCTTCAATGAGCACTTCTACCCCGAGCCAGGCTGCGTCCAAGACGCTGCAGACGCTTCATTGATGAGAGCAACCGCTGCAATATATATATGAATTAATTCATTCATTCTTTATTTAATCACTTCTACAATTCAACAGAAATTGTTCTAATGTATCAAAACATTTTTGCAAATTTGTTCAAAACGCAGCTGAATATATAGCGTATAATTATTTTTTTACATAAACATTAACATACAAACGTGCTTTTTCAGGCTCCCAAACAGTCTTTTTGGCCGGCTTCCGTGCTGACCGGTCGCAAAAACGGGCGTGAAACACGCGATTGCTGCATAATTCTAGGCGTGACTTTCATAAATATCGCTCCCGACATCGCTCCCACTCATCTGGGCTTTTCAAGCGGGCAACCGTGCCAGCCCTGTTGTCACACACCACCTAAAGCCTGGATCTGAACGCGTTCTGGGCCTAGGCCCAATTTCATTGGGCTTTATGTTGTGTTTGTGGCCGCACCCAAGACAACTCTAGCGTTTGTGCTACGCACCTGCACACGTGTGTGGCAAAAACAACGCCATGAATGAAAGTCTTGGTGTGAGTTGATGATGAGTATACTTTGACTCTAATGTGACTTCCACAAACATATACACGCATATACCATGCAAGTTTAATAATTAAAATGTGCTTGTTTGCTCTCATAGATTTTTCAGATAAGTGAATGTGAGGCTGGTTGACACTCACAACATTCAACAGGGATGGAAGCCGCCTGCAGCGAGAGCACCTTCCCGTTGGCCTGAGGGATGTGAACCCTGAACACCACACGTACTCGTGTGTTCTTTCGTCCTATGTCCGTCTCTCCTTTGCGCAGTTCAATGTCAGAGTTCCGCAGCTTCAGGATGCCAGCACAGTCAATACTGCAGAACAAGAAGAGTTCAATCCAATTAATGCTTGATAAGGATTGGTACCTGCTTGTTTCTGAGAAACGTACATTAAATATAACCACAAAATGTTTATTTGTAGTTGTATGTAAATGTATACTCGCACTTGGGGGATGTAACATATAACGTATAGTGTAAATATATATATATATATATATATATATATGGCTATAGATAGATAAAAATAGATAATGCACAAAATCTGTGTGTGTCTGTGGCATATCTCATTGACAGTCTGATCCATTATGCCATTATCTTTCCAAGCACAATCAGAAAACTGTACACATGTGAACACAAAAAAACTAAACATGGCTGTAGTTATGTTGCAGCATTTAGATGCAACAAAGTATGGTCAGCAATAAAAACAAGAGAAAAGAAAAGAGCATCAAAAGGAAAAATTACAAATCAAGATTTGTGAAGAAAGATTTGGTTATGTAATAAACACATCAATAATTGAATAAATGCAAGATTCAAGGAAGGTTAAAATGCCATACTGTGAAACATTCAGTTTATTTTTGTCTTTGTGAAATGCACCATCCAAAAACCTACTGACCTGGCTGACATGTTATTTTCAGGCAATAGAGGAATTTCTAGAACTTTGGTGCTGGACACAATGATTTCTTGACTTGCTGTGGCCACAGTTTTCCCTGTTATCCGGTGGACCTGATAGAAGGCATGGGGTCTCAAGTAGCGATCGTCTGCTGTGCCAATGAACATTTGCAGGTTGATAGGCTTCTCACTATATCCCATGAGCTGCGAAGACATATGCAAACATTTAGTCAAATATCTGTTTGGCACAGGTGAAAAAACAAATCCATTCCAATAAGATTGGAGAAAATTGGTTAATAATAACCTACAATCCGGAGAGGTGTGTTCATTAACATGCACTGTCCCAACCAACAAACACAATACATTAAATAAATAATCTAAAAAAAAAAAATTGTCTTCATCAGCAATTATATAAACTATGGTCTAAATATTTTATTTATTTGTTTTATACAACAATCTATGCATGGCCAGTAGAAATGAGGATAATATGGAAGGTTTGGTGAATCTGAAAAAAAAAAATAGAATTTCAAATTTTCTTTCCTATAGAGTTATATCGGCGTCTGCACTCCAACTGAAATAGAATTCTAGACCAAGAACACAACCTATTAGCTGCGCAGTTTGGGTATCAGAAATCCACTGAGCCAAGCTGAGGCGTCAAATAAGATGTTTTGAGAGGATTGGTTTAGGCACAAATAAAAGATGGAATCGCAAGCTGGAACTTCTCTCATCCAAGGGACACACAGTCACACAAACCAAGTTCAGTTGTAATGTTGATATTGGCAAACTCGCCCAGATCTGTATAGTCCATCCATACAACTCTCCAGCCACCAGTGGGCATTGGTCCATCAGGAAAACCCACTGGAGGCACCTGGAAAGAACAGCCCTTTCATTGCACTTCACCACACTGACGGCCAAGCATCCGCCGCGCTGTGGCTATAACTGAACCCCAGTTTGACTTGTACGTCACAGAGTGTGTTTCATGTACTGACACTAAAGTAAAGAAAGAAAAAAATACAGGAATGCACAGGATAGTAGATGTTTGATATCTGCTTCCTTCATGGCCTCATGTGGTTAAAACACTAAGTCCAGGAACATTAAAGGAAGCAGTGGAAAAGTGGATATGGTTGTGCTCACATCAGGTTTATGAGAGCGGATTGGCCCCTGGAGACAAGAGTCTTAATCCAGTTTTAGTCTTGGCCAGTATCACTTTTTATATTTCTGTATCATATTGTTAAATAGAATAATGAACTAATACATTTATGGATAATGAATAATGAATCCATATATTTATATTTGCAGACTGAATTATGAGCATCAAACACAGATGTAAATGTAAAATGTTTGTCTGTGTGCTGAAGTCAGCTCACACTTCATACATGTGTGTGTGTGTGTGTGTGTGCGTGTGTGCGTGTGTGTGTGTGTGTGCATGTGTGCGTCTGTGTGTGTGCGTCTGTGTGTGCGTGTGTGTGCATGTGTGTGTGCATGTGTGTGTGCGTGTGTGTGTGTGCGCGTGCGTGTGTGTCTTCATAAATCTGAGGATGTTTATTCACAGCTCCATGTGTCTTCCAGACAACGTAAAATGAGTTAACAGGGCTGTAAGGAATGAAAGCGTTTAGCTTGTACAGCTAGTGCCGCTTGACCGATGACTGCTTTCATTAATTAGGCCGAGCCAATACGAAGTATTGGGGAGGCCTATTGTTATTCACCGGTTTCATATTATTAGGCCGAGCCAATACTTTGTATTGGGGAGGCCTATTGTTATTCACCGGTTTCATATTATTAGGCCGAGCCAATACGAAGTATTGGGGAGGCCTATTGTTATTCACCGGTTTTCATATTATTATTCTTTTTCTTTTTCCGCAACTTCAATTCGATTTTTGACCCTGAAGACATGCACGAAAGTCTGCACTTGGGGGGTCTAAAACGACCGGTTCGGCGAAAAAATTTGATAAAATGAACGTTTCCAGATTGTCCGACGCTCGCCGACTCTATAACGCCCCCTAGAAATTTCATTTTTTTTGACCCTCTGGGGATTTTTTTTCAAATTTTTGAGTAGGTATACGAAATTCGGATGAGTGATAGATCTCTATGAGACGAGCATAAAAGCCGTTCTAAGCACATGTCTGGGACCAACAGGAAGTCGGCCATGATGGGCCAAAGTTTCGCCACTAATTTGACTTTTCATTTAGAAATTCGAACTAGTCCCTGGTTTTTCATCACACACAGTTCTACCACGTAATTTCCCAATCTGGACGGATTGAAGTTATATAATCATCGAAAAAAAGTTAGAAAATCTTCACCGTTTTCGTCCCTCGCCATGGCGAATAAGGCCTTCGTTTTGGCCATTTTCGCTGAGCCCTGAGGGCCACAGGCTCAGACCTACAGAGCTGAGACTCACATCAGTAATATTAGGTTATGGCCTGAACGCAATGACACTAAAATCATTCGCCCAATTCGAGCTCTTTAGCGCCACCTGTCGGAAAGTAATAGGGCACTAGTGCTCGGATCGGCCCGAAAATCGCTGAGTGTATTCTCTGGACCGAGACGAGCAAAACATTACATTACGCAAAAGTTGTACGTCCCACACCTGACCACTGGGGGCGCCGTAAAGTGAATAAATGAGCTTTTTGGGGCAAAATCTTTGTCCGATGAGGCTAAAAATGAATTCAGAAATACAGCGTATGACCCTGAACACAACGATATGCAACACACAACTGTGAGTGCAACAGCGCCACCTACAGGCAGTGCAATGTGTCTCATTTTTGGCTTCGTACTAGTCCCTGGATTTTCATCGCACAGACTTCTACCATGTCATTTCTCCATCTGGACGGATTGAAGTTATGCAATCATCGCATAAAAGTTAGAATGTTGTTATCGTTTTCATGCGAGGTAGCGGGGAATTTCTCCATGTTTGATGCTCTCCTGACCACAGGCTCAGACCTACAGAGCTGAAACTCACATCGCTAACAGTTGGTAATGGCCTGAGAGTAATAATGGGTGAAAACACACACCTAATATGACTCTACAGCGCCACCTATGGAAGGCTTCTGACCTAAACTTTTCCGATCTTCACCAAAGTTGCAAAATCAAATCTTTACATCTGCACGAGCAAAATACTACTCTACGTAGAGGGTGCATGTCCCGGAGGTGACCACTAGGGACGCACTTTATCATATAAATGAGCTTTTATATACATAATCCTGGTCAAATCGGGCTGCCAATTCGTCGGCGTGACGCTTGTGGGACCGGCGCCCAGGAGGCGGTCGCAAGAGGGGCGAGGCCTTTCATCGCCGCTTGCGGCTTTTTCTTTTTCTTATTTTTTTTCCGCAACTTCAATTCGATTTTTGACCCTGAAGACATGCACGAAAGTCTGCACATGGGGGGTCTAAAACGACCGGTTCGGCGAAAAATTTGATAAAATGAACGTTTCCAGATTGTCCGACGCTCGCCGACTCTATAACGCCCCCTAGAAATTTCATTTTTTTTGACCCTCTGGGGATTTTTTTTCAAATTTTTGAGTAGGTATACGAAATTCGGATGAGTGATAGATCTCTATGAGACGAGCATAAAAGCCGTTCTAAGCACATGTCTGGGACCAACAGGAAGTCGGCCATGATGGGCCGAAGTTTCGCCACTAATTTGACTTTTCATTTATAAATTCGAACTAGTCCCTGGTTTTTCATCACACACAGTTCTACCACGTCATTTCCCAATCTGGACGGATTGAAGTTATATAATCATCGAAAAAAAGTTAGAAAATCTTCACCGTTTTCGTCCCTCGCCATGGCGAATAAGGCCTTCGTTTTGGCCATTTTCGCTGAGCCCTGAGGGCCACAGGCTCAGACCTACAGAGCTGAGACTCACATCAGTAATATTAGGTTATGGCCTGAACGCAATGACACTAAAATCATTCGCCCAATTTGAGCTCTTTAGCGCCACCTGTCGGAAAGTAATAGGGCACTAGTGCTCGGATCGGCCCGAAAATCGCTGAGTGTATTCTCTGGACCGAGCCGAGCAAAACATTACATTACGCAAAAGTTGTAAGTCCTACACCTGACCACATGGGGGCGCCGGAAAGTGAATGAATGAGCTTTTTAGGGCAAAATGTTTGTCCGATGAGGCTAAAAATGAATTCAGAAATACAGCGTATGACCCTGAACACAACGATATGCAACACACAACTGTGAGTGCAACAGCGCCACCTACAGGCAGTTCAAGGTGTTGCATTTTTGGCTTCGTACTAGTCCCTGGATTTTCATCGCACAGACTTCTACCATGTCATTTGTCCATCTGGACGGATTGAAGTTATGCAATCATCGCATAAAAGTTAGAATTTTGTTATCGTTTTCATGCGAGGTAGTGGGGAATTTCTCCATGTTTGATGCTCTCCTGACCACAGGCTCAGACCTACAGAGCTGAAACTCACATCACTAACAGTTGGTAATGACCTGAGAGTAATGGTGTGAAAACACACACCTAATATGACTCTACAGCGCCACCTATGTAAGGCTTCTGACCTAAACTTTTCCGATCTTCACCAAAGTTGCAAAATCAAATCTTTACATCTGTACGAGCAAAATACTACTCTACGTAGAGGGTGCATGTCCCGGAGGTGACCACTAGGGACGCACTTTATCATATAAATGAGCTTTTATATACGTAATCCTGGTCAGATCGGGCTGCCAATTCGTCGGCGTGACGCTTGTGGGACTGGCGCCCGGGAGGCGGTCGCAAGAGGGGCGAGGCCTTTCATCGCCGCTTGCGGCTTTAATTAGGCCGAGCCAATACGAAGTATTGGGGAGGCCTATTGTTATTCACCGGTTTCATATTATTATTCTTTTTCTTTTTCCGCAACTTCAATTCGATTTTTGACCCTGAAGACATGCACGAAAGTCTGCACATGGGGGGTCTAAAACGACCGGTTCGGCGAAAAATTTGATAAAATGAACGTTTCCAGATTGTCCGACGCTCGCCGACTCTATAACGCCCCCTAGAAATTTCATTTTTTTGACCCTCTGGGGATTTTTTTTCAAATTTTTGAGTAGGTATACGAAATTCGGATGAGTGATAGATCTCTATGAGACGAGCATAAAAGCCGTTCTAAGCACATGTCTGGGACCAACAGGAAGTCGGCCATGATGGGCCAAAGTTTCGCCACTATAATTTGACTTTTCATTTAGAAATTCGAACTAGTCCCTGGTTTT